CTCCAAACAAATATTATTGTCCCATCTGACAGTGAGTCAAACTCCCAAGCAACAAGAAATTCTATCTTTGATTCTGTTTGTTTGCTGAGGTTTTCTCCCTTCCAAAGATGTCAAGACACTTTCTCTAAAAGGAAGACTTACTGGAGGCCTGTTGAGAGCCCTGGTGACAGCAAGTATATTCAGAAAAATAGAATAAAATTTAAAAATATATGAAAGCTTACTTGAAAAATGTTTGCTGGCCCAAAGGAGCTAGAATTGCTACTATCTGTTAAACATTGAGAACAAAATGTGAGATTTCACTGCTTTTAAAAACTTCTTTTGATTATATGATACTATTGCCAATATTATGTGTCATAAACATTTTGATATCCTCCAATACAATTGGATAAATATTATAAGGAAAAATAAAATTTTGATAACCTCCAAATAAAAATTTAATAATAAAACTTTTCATATCCTCCAAACAGAAAAAGATGCTTGTTGAATACTTAAACTTACTCTTAGTATCAATGTTTGCAACTAAATTTATGATAGAAGTAATGCAAATTATAGTTCATGCAAGAAAAACATATTTTACTGTGTGTTTTACTGGATTACATCATTAAGTTAATGGAAACTATAGAGTTTTTAAATACTGATAGCTTTTAAGATGTAGTATTTTATTTATTTTTATTATTCTTTTTGGTTGATGAATAAAAAATGCATATATTTATGGTATACAATGTGGTGATTTGAAATATGTACATTGTGGAATGGTTAGGTGAAGCTAATTAACACACGCATTGCCTCCCATAGAAGTAATTACCTTTTTCTGTGGTGAGAACATTTAAAATATACTCATCAATTTTCAAATATACAATATATTGATCTTAATATAGTCATATTGTAGGGTAAATCTCTTAAATTTATTCTAATTGACATTTTATATCCTTTGACCAACAGCTCCTGAGTACCCCTCTCCTCCTGGTAACCATAAGTATATGTCCTACTTCTGTGAATTCTACTCTTTTAGCTTCTACACATAAATGAGATCACATAGCATTTGTTTTTCTGTGCCTGGATTATTGCACTTAGCATAATACTTTCATCTTCATCCTTGTTGCTATAAATGACAGAATTCTCTCCCTTTTATGGCTGAATAATGTTCCATTTTGTATATATACCACATTTTTTTTATCCAGTTAACTGTTGATAGACACAGGTGATCCCATATCTTAGCTTTCAAGAATAATAAATGCACTGTTTTGCAACATTCCTCTTTTTTCTCCAGAAGAAATTCTAAATTTATATGTAATTCTAAATTTAATATTAAAAAATTCTTAACAAGTGAGAATTAGTAACCAATTTATGAAATAGTCTGACTTTTAAAATTAGAAACATTTCTTTATTCTTAATCCTTACTAAAAATATGGAATAAAAATGAGATTTTTAATGGACAGACATAAATTCTTATTTTTGTATTGCAGTTTTTTCTACCATAGTTTAAATGTGTACATTCTTATCCATAATGAATTAAATTTAAATTTCCACTGGTACCATAATTTAGATAATATTACAGTTTTACAGATAAGGAAGAAGGTTTGGTACAACTAAGTAAATTACCTGTGATAATACAATAGAGAAGAGAAGGTACCCCCAGGGTTTGGAATTAAGTCAGTCTGAGCCAATGTCCAAGCTCTTACAGGTGGCAACACTTGCAAACAGTAAGCAGTTAACAGGTCAAAGAGCGAGCTGTCAACAGAGACAGTCTACTTGGCCACAGCAAAAGTGAGGCCCAAAGTGTGGAAACCTGTGTCACTTGGTGAAGTATCAGGTCAGCTGTCAGCATTCATTCTCTCATTCGTTAGAGGAGGGTATTCTCTAGTGAGCGGTACTGTGTGTGCCTCAATTTTCTACTGTTGAAGGGATATAATGAGAGTGTGAAATGGTACAAAGACAGCACACAGAACAATGCTTACGCCATAGTGTGAGCGCCATAAATGTTAGCTACTCCTCAAATACTTATCAGAGGTCCGGTATGTCTACAGCACCAGGGTTACAACAAGGAAGCATGATGAGCATTCTTCACTATCTCCAAGGGCACTAGCCTTGCATAGGTGGGTCATGTACCGGACTTCCTATGTGCTTAGAAGGACAGCATGTGTCAGAGGGATTTCCCTGTTGCCAGCAGGGCTCCAACCCCCCTGGACAGACATTGCAATAACTATTCCCTGTTAGATGGGGACAGTGTTCACTGAGAGAGATGGGAAGGAACAAGGTGACCTGGTCTCAGTATTTCAGGCACAGAAGACAAAGTGAAGACGGAGTCCCCAGTGAGAGATGGCAATCCAAGAATGAGGTAGAATATTAATGAACAGAACTAGGTACAAAGTCAGAAGCACCCAAGGAGGTGCCGGGATGGGGAATGCCTTCGAGCATGACAAGAGCACTGAGGGAAAAGGCTTTCAGCAACTCAGAGCCCCGCAGAACTCAAAACCTTCCCTAGGGAAGAGCCTGCGGTTTTCTAAGAGTTGGGCCCCATGGTTTAGCCTAATTAATCTCCTAAACTGGGTCATCACTCTGGGTTGCACAGCAAGCAGGGGCCTGGCATGAGGGCCTGGTAAACACTGGGATCTATGAAAAAGGCCTTGGAAAGAACCTGGTTCCTTGTAAATCCTGAGAACAATCAGATTCCCTTCTGGGCCTTGCTTTTCAATCTGTTAACGTCCTCATGTAACTGCACCAGGTGGGCAATTGATGAGTTGGTTAAAGTTGCCTCCCTCACTTCCCAGACATGCCAGGAAGATGAAGGCAAGGAAGAGGAACGCCTTGTCCTCACCAGCAGGGCCACAGCACCTGCCCTTGCTCCTTGGTCAGGAGTTGGTCTGGTCAGTGAATGAAGGCAGGTCATGACTGTTAAGAAATGCATGCTTCATGGGCATTTTAGGAATTTCCATGACCGGGAATGAAAGCGAGACCTTGTGGGTCTACCCTGACATGTTTGCTAAGAGGCACATGCAAGGCTGCCCTTGCCTGTGAGAGTCATGTGAAATTACGTAAGCTTCACCCACCATCCCCCAAGGAAGGCCCTGCACTGAAAGAAGGAAAGCTCTTCCAAGGTAGCACATGTGTGGGCCTTGACATTAACAAAGGGTAAGAGAGCATTCCCGAGTCACTTCCTTGTGAGACCTGGAATACAGCTTGCTACAGCTTCCTAGCACTTTGTTCTGCCGCGAAGCTGAAAACATTTAAGAAACTTCTGACCTTTCATTTAAAAATAATCATTAACTCTTTCAGGTCATAAAAATACTACTTTAAAAAGCAGTTGATGCAGAAAATAGATCCCAGCTATTTGAAAGAGTTTAACCTCTGCCAAAATACAAACAGAACAGGAACAAAAGTAGGATCAGGCTCCACGGGTCATTAATCGGTACATTTGCTCCATGACCTGACTTGAAGGCACGCATCCACAGCCCAGTGTTACTTACAAAGAAATGAAGCATAAAAAGATGAAGTGGCCTGATAAATCTCACACTAGGTCTTCAGAGTAGTTGGGAAAAGGCTCACGATAGACTCTCTACCCAGAATCCAGTGCTCTTTTACACCCAGAATGCAATGCTCTCTTTCAGCCTTCCACCACCTCAGCCTCCTTCCTCTCCAGTCCATCCTCCTGATTCAACAGTCCCTTTCTTCTTTCTCATATCCCCAAACCAACTGTCCATACCCTTAGGCAAAATGTAGGTTAACCTAAAAATAGGTTGATTTGGAGGTAATGGCATCATCTTTTCCCCTCTCAACCTGCTCCTTTTTGTACAGAAGAATTTCATAATTAGGTATGAAAAATATGGGTCCTCAAATATAGGAATGCTACAGAACTTCTCTGTAGAGTGAGTGCAGGCTTGGTAAAGTAGGAAAGGAAGTCACCCTCCACAGTCCGGTCAGTGAAAAGACCCACAGCAGCCATGAGTTTAATGACCACTGTCTTGGTTACTTTTCTGCAAAATACCTGATGCCCAAAATTAAGGAAGGAAAGGTTTATTTCACTTATAGTTTGTGGAGGTTTTAGTCCATACTTGGCAGGTTACAAGGCAGAGTGGCACATGGCAGAGGGCTATAGCTCATGGCGGCAGAACACAGCAAAAACAACAAAAAGTAAAAGGGAGGAATGGCCCCAAGCAGCCTCTTCCTCTCTCTTACATATGCAAACTATCCACCCCAGGGTGGGTGTAGCTCTCACACCCATAATCAATCAAACTCTAAAAGCCTGCCCCATGACCACATGAGGCTTTGGGGGGACACACAGACACAGACCATAACAACCACCATCTTTGATAACCCTGTTCTGAAGTCAGATCTAGGCCATCCTATCAAAAACCTGCTTGAACTTGTGACAGCAAGAGTGAAGATAGCATTTTCTAGTTGGTGTCAGGTACACGCAGATGTGGCCTATTCTGCAGTAACTATATATCCGGAGTTTGCCTTGCACAAGAGTTTTAACAGCAAATTATAACTAAGACATAAATAAGAAAGCTGATTATTTCCCTGAGTCCGTGGGTTCAGCAAAAGCATTTCAAGTGCCACTTTTTCATTTCTTTATTTGCCACCCTACACACACTCCAGGGAGTAAATATTAGTCACCTAGCTTTACGTTTGATCATGTCTGTGTACAGTGATAGAGTGGATAATAGGGACCCATTTTGAGGTTGATTAACCTCAGATTATTGAACCAAATAGACTGTATATCTCCCATTGAGAAGGAAAATGTTAGAAACCAAATGCATCTCAAGCCATAACTTTTCATGGAAGGACACAGAATCAGGTCTAGGCAGGGGAAGGAGGCATGCAGGAACCATCTAACCCAAATCACCTCTTAGGTATTTTACTACAAGAGTCTCTGTTTAAAGTCCCTGGACTCAGGTAAGCAAAGGGAACATTCCTGAAATGTCAGGTTGCGTGGAGATGTTACATTGGGAATCCTCACACAACATCTTAAAATAACTATGGCTATCTTTCTATTTCAGAGGTGTGGCGAAATCTTGTTTGAGAACCCTGATCAGAATGCCAAATGTGTTTGCATGCTAGGTAAGAAAGCTTTTCATTTTGAATTTATTAGGCGTGTTGATGTCGTACAGAATCTCTGAAGTTCTGTTGGTTTATTGTCTGTCTCTTGTTCCGTTTTAGAGAGGTTTGGAATTTATAAGCAGCTGTAACATGTTTGTGGAATCGTTGATGATGAAAGAAAGGTTTTGCTTTTAATAACTGTGAATCTGGAGCCATGGTTCTGAGCCTTTTGAATTTTCTCTTTGGTAATCAGCATAGCATAGAATTGAGTGCTTTGTAGTGAGGAAACTGTGAACTGTGATCGAAAGGCAAGGAGAATCACATTGTAATTCCTAACCAGAGATGATAAGAGATAAGTACACTATTGAGTGTTTACAACACAACACAAAATACTCTTACTTCCAAGGCCTGGGAGAAATGCATGTTTGAACTAATCTGAAGTCAGCATAACAATAACCCACAATGCATTTGTACCACAATAACAATAATGTAATAATCATTTGTTCTTGTGGGACAATACATCAATAACTTTTACAGACTCCTTCAATATATGTTATTCTGTTAGGAAATTAAGTTGGTATTATTTTTTCTTATTTCCTAAGTTAGGAAGAAGTATGGAGAATGTAAGTGATGGATTTAACCTCAAAATGAGAACTAGTCCAGATCATAACAAGAAAGTTCCTAACCTATAAAATTTTAGGTTTGGATGATTAGATACTACTTAAGCCACAACATATGCCCAGTGAACTTTATATTTATTATAGTAATAAAAACAAAAATGGAGCAAAGATAATCAAAAGATCCTTAAATTTTATTTTCGTAAAATTTCACATTTATCTGCTTAAATCTTAAACCCTATTCATAAGCAAAGAACAATTAATTTTAGTTTCTTTTAATTACTATAGTGGCCTCATATCTTGGCAACCTAGACTATTAGTAAGAAGACCCAAAAGTAGACAGCAAGATGAATAGAATCAAGGGAAGATCTTGGTTATTTATAAATAAAGATAATCGTGTAACAAGTAATCAAAGGTTTCTCATAATTTAAAAAAACACATTTTTTTGCCTTCTAAGTATTATTTTCTTGTACTGTTGTTTTAAACCTCTCTGAAACAATTTTTTACATATTTTTATTTTTATTAAGATTGTGCCAATATAGTAACGCATGCATTAGAAAATGAACATTTTAGTGGAAGCACATAACCAATGAATATAATGTAGAATCTAGACACCCTCTCAAATATCCAATATTCCCCTCCTGTAACTATGAAAATTTTTCAAAAATTCTAACGTTCCAGGATACTGGACAAAGATGGATAGATAGATGGATAGGTAGGTAGGTAGGTAAGTAAGTAGGTGAGTAGGTAGATAAAAAGAAAAAAAGAAGAAAATTTCTTTGTGCAGCCATATATCCTAATCATGGATTTGAGAAGCTGTTATCACCACCGCTACATCAGATTTATTCATCAATTAATTTAGTGCACAAAACAAGATGGTGTTAGTACTATTATGATACTTATTTCACAAATGAGGAAATTAAGGCAAATGATTTGGTACTACAAGGACATTAATACTCTTAAAATATTATTTGATTATGGCTTCCATCTGATCTATTAACTTAAATCAAATTTTAATCCATGATGATTTTAAAGACATGAACGCATCATCAATTTGAATTGAATTTTCCTCTGTCTTGAGTCACATTTGTTTCATTTGTTAACTGGTAGGAGGACAGCACTAGACTGTCTATTACTGCCTATAGGATAGACTTCATTTAAAATAAGATCAGTCAGGGGTTGGGGATTTAGCTCAGCGGCACAGCGCCTGCCTGGCAAGTGCAAGGTTGTGAGTTCAATTCCCGGTACTGGAAAACAAGCAAACAAAAAAAAAAAAGATCAATCATCTTTCCATCTCTTCTAGATTGTATGGTATGGTCTATACAGCTGCCAGAAAGCATTCTTAATCATCAACTATTGCCCTACTGCTGGGGAGATAGCTCAGTGGCACAGTGCCTGCCTTGCAAGCATAAGGTCCTGAGTTCAATTCCTGGTGCCAAAAAAAAAAAAAAATATTGCCCTACTGTACCTGATAAATTGCACAAAGTTTCATAATTATAATGTATTTATGTAAGTCACTTGTTAATTACTACTACAACTGTGCAATTAATTGAGCACTCAGTGTGACAGATGACATCTAGCCTAAGCATCTTACATAATTTGGTCATTTATTCTAAGTAAATTAAAAGATGCCTTATCTTTCAAAATATAGATACCTTTGAAAGTACATGTATTAATTAAGCAGTGTAGTAATCCACTACACATTAGTTATTAACCTTGTAAATTTCATTAATTTGTTAGATTATTTTATTTTCTTGGTGATATAAGATTAAATAATATAAAGAATTCATGATGAGTGTTTTTATTAATTTGAGGACACATAGGAAGAACAAACATTTTACCTTTAAATACCACCTTTTTACTATCTAAAATATAATACGGCGTGAAAATAAAACTATGCTTAGTGACCTTGAGCTTTTCACATAGTGAAAATTGTCTGTGCCCTCAAGGAGCTTACATCTAAGAAGGCTTAGAATTTTGCTTACTTATTTTTAAAGATTGTTGCAACTCTAATTAAAGCACTTACAAAGTTTTTTGAAATCTTAGATGAAAAAAGACCAAAGTAAAATAATCACGAATGTCGATACACAGAGACCAACCTGGCATTAGCATACATTCTCCCAAGACCTCCGATTTCACATTAATACAGTGCAAGATGAGAAGGATGAAAAGTAAAGCTGAATGCCTCACTCGCTTAAAATAAACAAGAGGAATTCAAGTAATGAATACATAAGTCACTAAAACTGAGATCATATCTTATATTTCTTCAGAAAAGAACCTCAGTATTAGCACAAGAAAGCCCCTCTTCTGCATTGCCTAAGGTAGTAATTAGTTCGGTGGAGAAACCTTTGATGGTGCCTTTATGAATTCCTGAAGCATTTCTTGAGAAAACATTTTATCTCCAACAGCAAAAGATAAGGAGTCTGATATTTTATGAAACTATTAAGTTTTACCAGTGTTAACAACTGTGAATGCAGTTGATATTTCTGCAGGTAATTTTATAACTTTTTAAGTGAATAAGTCAATATTTCTAAGCAAGAAAACCAAACATATAAAGTCTGCATTTCCAAAACTTTAGCCTGGTCATTTTGCCACCCCAAGACTGGATCCAATCTGAGGTATCTACATCTTGATTCACTCTCTGGTTTCTCCACCTCCTCCCACCCACACTCCCGGCTGGGGGGCCTGCCTCCCTGAATCCCGGCTGTGCTCTGGTTTTAGCACAGCCAAGGTAGAATATGGACAAGGGTCTCTAGTCCAGGACACAGTTGCAGGTCTCTTCTCTCTCTACCACTGCTGGCTCCTCAGTTCATTCTAAAAAAATGCAGTTTCCATGTGTTGAGGTTTCTGTATCACTGACTTTCGTGAATAACCCATCCTCACCGAAAAGTATGCTTCCAACTCGTTACCTTAAATGACCCTTAAGTGTAAAATTCATTTTAAGTTACTCTGAAGCACTCAATTCAATGCAGTTTTAAGTGGGAGCAAATTACCATCATGGACAGTTCTTGCAGGGAATGATTTGTAGCTTCAGAAGAATGCTTTGTGATGAATATGAAAGTTAACAGGGTGTACTGTCACTCGGGGCGCTGGCCATGCTGAGTATTCACTGCTTGTTCCTTTAAATTGCTCAGAGAGGGCAGATATAGCTGATTAAGTTAAGCACCGAATGGTACTGAATTGTTGCCTTCTTTTCTTCAGGCTCAGGTCAATGGGTTCAGAACTCCCATCTTTTCCTAGCACACCACCGCTCCCTTTTAACATTTAGTCACAAGATTTCTCTCAAGTTCAAATTGGCCTTGGTTTATAACATTATGTCAAAGGGTAAACAGCTGTACATGAAGACTTGAACCTTAACTAGATCCAGTGGACTGATATGAAAGGAAAAGAGAAATAGACAAGAAATGATCTCGTATGGTGTCTCATTATCTCTCGATGCATGAGCTATGGCAAATTGCTGACAAAATTTACTTTTCAAAAGTACAAAGAAAACTGTTAGGTAAAAAAAAAGTTAAGGGCTTAAAGGAATTATGTGAAATGATTAGTGCTGACTCGCTTCTTAGTTCACTTGTTAACCTTGCTCCATGAAATAATAAATCTGGGGAAAAGAAAATTTCAAAAAGAGGATTCTAGATCAGACCTTGCATTTGCTGCCCATATTCTTGAGTAGGATTCTCTCAAACAGGAAGCCTTAATTTGTATGTTTTTGTATTTTATATTTTTATTTTTATTTACATACAACATCTGTATATGCATTTTTATATCAGAGATTTATAAATTTTATGATATAAATAGTGTTCTATTTATATTATTTTGTCCATCCTCTTCATCAAGGTCTTTTTACACCAATGTGGAATGTTCTGAGACTCTACTGCTCTGTCATGGCTGATTCCTTCCATGCAGATGAGGGGCGTGGTTATTTGAATGCACAATACGAATTTATTTACTTGTGTACCTTACATGTACATAAGGAGATGCATTAGTCAGTTTTCTTGACACAGAGACATAATACCCACCACTCATGATTTAAAGGAGGAGAAGTTTAATTCACTTAGGGTTTCAGTCCACAATCAGTGAGCTCAAAGACAGAGACGTAGCAGAGAGAGAAAAGCTGCTTTAGTTCACAGTGGCAGGGACAGAGCATGGGAAGAGTGCCAGACAAGAAAAGGCAAGGGACCAGACATAGACCTCCAGGGCCACACTGACATGACCCACCCAGAAGTGCTCCACCAGGTCCCCAGACTGAGCCCAAAGCCAATAAGGTTGACACTACCCCTGGACAACCACAGGGGTGTTCCTACTAGTCAGAATTCTGGTTGAAGTTTATGATAAGTCATTGAACTAGGTTGTTAATTTTCAGAGTAAGAGCACACCATAAGATCAATGTCTTATTAACAATCAACA